ACCTGAGTTGTAGCCCCTTGCTTCCCTAATAAACCCCATAATTATGAGTATTGTCTGTGAGTTCTGTGTGATCATTGCAAGGAATTATTGAACCCAGCAGAGGAGCAGTGAGTGCTGTGGGAGGGACGGTTGATGTCAGAAGTTGGTAAAAAGGCTGGAAGGTGGCAGCATGTCTGGCTTCATAGGAATAAACCTTGGGCTGCTGATGGTGATTCTGTTTCTCTCTTGTGAAGTGAGAGGAAGTCAGAGGAGGTTGCCTCCAAGTCCTTTTTGCACCCGTCCATATATATCTGTGGTCCCAACCTCTGTAAAGCCTATTAAAACATCAAGGTACATGCAGTGGTCCATGATAACAAAAGGGTGCTACTTTGTCATGTGTATCAAACATTATTATCATTGTGTTATTGTGTGAAAGATTTCTTAGTGTATCTGGAAGTGTTTCTTTGATGTTTTTATTGCATAAAAGGGTATAAGACAAACATTGACTGACTGACATTAGATATGAAATGTACCTAACTATTTTGGCTTACATACAAATTCAACTCAAAGACAGACTTAGGAACAAATCTCCTTCTTAATTAAGGACTGCCTATATATAACATGGGAGCTCTGGTAGCATAGTGGCTAAAGCACTTGACTGCTAACCAGAAGGCTGGTGGTTCAAACCCACCAGCCACTCCTCGGAAGGAAGGTTGGGCAATCCTACTTCGGTAGTGATACTGCCTCGGAAACCCAAGGAGGGGTCGCTATGAGTTGGGGCTGACTCGACAGCACATAACAACAACAACAACAAATATATAACATGGATTTCCCACAACATCCAAATTACATAATGTCCTATTTTACAAAATGTATCATGGATGTTAAGTGACCCATTACTGTAGCGCTATGATAAACAAATGTCCTGCGTTTAAATTTTTTAAATGGCCACACCGTTTTGCAGTTCCTCCAATCAGGGAGTAGAGTTTATTTCTCCATCCCTGAAGCTGAGCTTGATCATGTGATTTACTTTGGCCAATGGCAATACTAGCAGATGTGTTGCAAGTAGAGGCTTGGAAAGTGTTTCCACACTGGGGCTTGCCCTCTGTTTTGCAATTGGGAATCCTGAGACCACCATATGATGAAACCTGGACTAGCCTACTAGAAAAGGAGAGAGCACACAGAGAGAGTCCCCAGCCATCCCAACTAAGGCCCAAACATGTAAGTGAAGCTATCCTACACCATTCAGCCCTTGGTCTAGGGGCTAGCTGGACCAGACCTAAAGAACCATTTAATCAACCCATGAATATAAGAAATTATAAATGTTTGTTATTTTAACTTGCTAAATTAGTTATGCATCAAAGGTTAATTTGAGCAAACATTCTGTGGTTAATAATTATTTCCTAGGATAATTTCCTAGAAGTAGACTTTCTTAGAAGGAAGTCTAGCCTCCTTTCTAATTAAATTGCCAAACTGTTCTGCCAGACTGCCTAGGTTTGAATCCCAGCTCTAGAAGTATGACTCTTAGCCTGTCTATGCCTCAGTGTCTTTATCTGTAAAATGGCTTCATAATAGTGTCATGAGGGTAAATCAGTACAAAATGTAAAGCCCCTAACACAGTGGTTGGCACAAAGTATTGTGCTGCATAAGAGCTTGTAATTTCTAGTGTGGTGTTGTGATAGCTATGAGACTGTTTCTAATGAGACTGTTGCCAGGCAGTCCTGATGCAGTAGCTTTGGGTTCACTCATAAGTCCATATCATGGTGACGTTTCCCTTGGGGCAGGATGGGCCCTGCTGCCATTGGTGGAAGGTGAATGCTTTGGTGTTACCTTGTGACCAGAGAAAACATGTCAAACATGTTCCAGAGATGTGTCAAAGTGGATTTCCCAAGGTCTTGCTGCTGCAGACCTGAGGATGATTGGATATGAAAACTCCTTGCTCAAAGAACCCCTAACTGACCTGGAACTCATGGGCCTACTCTACCATCTGAGAAATAAAACAGGCTTCCTTCAGCCTTGCAATTCTCATTTCTACCTCTGTGTATTTAATGATGATGATGATGATGATGATGATGATGGCTAACACATTGAGTGCCCATTATGTTTCAGGCACTGGCCTAAAGCACTTTACAAGTATTGTTTCATTTAATCCTCACATCAATCCTTTAAAGTAAGTCTGTCTGGTTTCCATTTTACAAATATGGAAACTGAATCTGGACACAGGGGCTGAATCTAGAACCTTTCATCCTTACTGTCTTGTATTTGAGATCCTCCAACTTTGGGATGAAAAATACCAATAAAAGCAAATCATTTCTGAGACTGATCCATTCATTATCCACCCATTCCTCAGCCACAAGAGTGTTCTATGTTAGAACTACCTGCAGCAAAATATCTGAGGGGGGTGTCAAGGAATGGATTATGTATTGGTTACTACTGCAAGCCTTCTCAAGTTGATTCGGTACTCTGTTGGGGAGGGTGGGAGAAGGATACTTCACTCTCCCATGCACCAGAATGCAACAGTCCCAGGCCTGATTAAGGAATAACAATATGGAAGGCAGATGCATGGATGCCACACCATTGCCTTTCAGTTAAATATTGCTTGGTGTGTTTTTTTTCTCACACCCCCCGCCGCTGTAAATCTCCCAAATGGAACGATTTGCTTTCCCAAGTTAGAAGTGTTAGCACGTCTTTTCTTTAAATATCTGTACATGGCTGTTTTTTTCCCTGCCAATTTGTCACCATCTGTAACCCTCCTTTGGTGAGATGCTCTGATGACAACAATTATCTTGGAGAGTAAAAGTGGCGGTCTTGAAGCAACATGCAAAAGCGAAGTCAGTGTGGGCTGTGTGTGTGTGTGTGTGCGCGCACGCGCTGTAAATGCCAGTGTACTTTGTGTGTGTATTGTGGAGTACGGAAGATTTGTACCTTGTGTGTTAGCTCTATGGGGTGCTGTGTATGTATACATTTCTTGTGAGTTTGCAGTGTGTACATTCTGTAAATATCTTGTGTGTATGTGTGTGTGAACTGTGTGCTGGAGTGTGTATCTGCCTGTCCACTTTCGGTCTATGTGCTCTCTGTGTGGCTATGATGTGGGCACCTTGTATGTGGGTGCGGTGCAGTGAATTACTTTGTATGGCTTTCCTAGCCATAGTCTTTGTAACTCTCACTGGATTACTGGGTGAGACTATGCAAATAAGGTGTGTAGAATGTTGCTGGGATTAGTTAGTTTTGTCACTCTGCCAGGCTTGGAATGAGCCTTCCTAGAGATAGAAAGGGAGCTCTGGTAGCATAGTGGCTAAGACACTTGCCTGCTAACCAGACGGCTGGCGGTTCAAACCCACTAGCCACTCCTCAGAAGGAAGGTTGGGCAATCCTACTTCCCTAGTGATACTGCCTTGGAAACCCAAGGAGGGGTCGCTATGAGTCGGGGCCTACTCAAGGGCACATAACAACAACAACAGAGACAGAAAGGGAGATCTCACTCCCATCAAGAGAGAAGAGCTAGAAGTGAAGTAGAGTGCATCCTTGGACCCGAGATCCCTGCACTGGACCTCCTTGGCAGAGACACCTGGCAGAGATACACCTGGCAGAGAGATGGTGGCAGTGGAACCAAGAGGCTTGAGACAGAGCAGCAGGCTTTCTGGCCCACAGAGGGAGAAAGCTGTGTGCCTTTGGGTAGGAGGCTTCCTGGTGGAGTGGGCTGTACCTAGATGTACTTATGGCAGAACTAAAAGAGCTTTGTAACACTTGCCCAAGCAGACAGAGGCCAGGCCAAGAGGCCAAGGGCCAGAGAGGCATTTCTGAGGGCACAGCAGAGGGGTGACTGTCCTAATGGAAGAATTGTATCCTGAGCGTGTTCCTGAAGCTGAATTGTAGCCTGTTACTTCTCTAATAAGCCCACAATCGTGAGTATCATCTGTGAGTTGTGTGGCCTTTGCAACGAATTATAGAACCAGCAGAGAAATAGCGAGTGCCGTGGGAGGGAAGTTTGGTGTGGGAATGGGTCAAAGGCTGAAGGGTGACATCATGTCTGGCCTTATAGGAGTAAGCCTTGGGCTGCTGATGGTGATTCTGTCTTCCTCTTGTGAAGCTAGAGGTCAGAAGATGCCGACCCCACACCCTTTTAGCAGTGGGTGAACTGCCTGTGTGCTGGCTGAAAGAGGGTCTGCGTTGACTGCTGAGTGAAGTTTTTCATGAGGCATAATTTCTCAAAGGTGTTTAAAGCGAGTGCAGGAGACATGGCAATTTGGAATATTGGCAGGGTTTGGGCCTGGGCCTGGGTCAAGGGAATTTAAACTCTGGGTGGCTTGTCTGAGAGCGCTGCTGAGATGGGGGCTGGCCATGAAGAGGAGTGGGGCCTCCGGCGTTTCTGGAGGGCAGCTCGCTCCAGCTGGGCGGTAGGTTGAGCGCAGCCCAGCAGGGCGGCCGCGGGCGCTGGGAGCCGAGGTCCCGGCGCTGGGCTGCGGGCGGGGAGCCTCAGGCGCTCCTCCCCCTCCCCAGCCGCCCCCACCCCGGGTGCGGCGCCGCGGGGGGCGGAGGCAGTCAGCCAGGCCGGGGCTGCGGAGACCGAGCTAGGGGCTGCGGCAGCAGCTGTGATGGCGGGCGGTGGAGGGACCAGGGCGGGGGCCGGGGCGAAGGCCAGCTGCCCGGAGCCCTAGGGCGCCGCCCGCCGCAACTCCACCATGAACGTCGCGCTGCAGGAGCTGGGCGGCGGCGGCGACGTGAGCGGGGCTTCGGACCCCGGGGGCGAGAACCAGGATAATGGGGAGGCGGGCGGCATAGAGGGGTGGGCCACGAGGGGGCAGGCTGCGTCGGGCGAGGGCGAGGGTTCGCGGGGATGGGGCTTCGTACTTGGAGGGTTGTCGGGGTCGGAGGGCCTGCCCTGCGGGACAAGTACCGGGCAGGTGGAATGGGGCTCCGAGTGCGGCGCAGGAGGCCTGGCGGGTGGGACATTGGTTCAGGGTGGTGGGCAAACAGCCCTCTCTCTGCCTGACCTCGGCTGGTGCCCCGGACTCTGGCAGATGGTGGAGTACAAACGGGCCACGCTTCGGGATGAAGATGCACCCGAGACCCCCATAGAGAGCGGGGCTTCCCCGGACGCCTTAGAGGTGGGCAAGGGGTTCCCCCTTTCTCACTAGGCCCCAGCCTGGGCATGACGCCTGGGACACTCCGGAGATCTTGGTTACCCTGGAGGGTCATCTTTCCCATCTCAGCTGAGTCTCTGGCCTTTGCACTATGACTATGGTGAAGCCATTCTAAGCCATGACATTGCACAAACAGGCTTAGGGCCTGCCTCATTGCCCTTAAGCCCAAAGTTAACCCCATTAGCGTCTTTCTTCCATGGGTCTGGAAACTGCCAGTGCTTTCACCCTGCAGGAGGATTCTGATCTTGGATACCCTGTCCTGCAGCTCTCTTTCTCTCTCTGTCCCAGGTGGGATTCCGGAAAGGGACAAGACATCTTTTAGGCTCACACACACAGCTGGAGCTGGTCTTGGCAGGTGTCTCTCTGTTGCTGGCTGCACTACTTCTGGGCTGCTTTGTGGCCCTGGGGGTCCAGTACCACGGAGGTAGGTGGGTCTACACCCATCACCAGCCCCCCAGCCTGGAGGCTTTGGAGGCTAAAGGGCCTCTAAGATTTTCTTAGATTGGAACCAGGCTTCCCCACAGCCTCCTGCCCCTGGCTTTTCCATCTCCTCATAATCTTTCTGCTGTCACTGCCCCTCCCAGCGTGTTTGCCTCTCCTAGACTGACGAATACTCTGCTACCTTCTGGCCTTGTCCCCTGCCACAGACCCATCCCACAGCATCTGCCTCACAGAGGCCTGCATTCGAGTAGCTGGGAAAATCCTGGAGTCCTTAGACCGGGGAGTGAGCCCCTGTGAAGACTTTTACCAGTTCTCTTGTGGAGGTTGGATTCAGAGGAACCCTCTGCCCGATGGACGTTCTCGCTGGAACACCTTCAACAGCCTCTGGGACCAGAACCAGGCCATACTGAAGCACTTGCTAGGTGAGTGGGCCTGTTGGGGTGACATTGTGCCAAGTACATGCCACAGGGCCTGGCATTTAGTAGGTACTCAATGACTGTCCACAAATGATTGGAAAAGGGGATAATTAATATTGCTGGGGTAGGACATACAGAGAACAGGAGCTTATGAGAAGAATAAAAATTTGTGTTTTGTGGGGAGGAGTGTGTGGCTAGAACCTCTGAGTATAAGTAAAGGGCTCCTCTCTGCACTCTCAAGCATTATAGAGGTGTGGCAGGTACCAGGAAGCCTGGAATGTCTAGAAATCTCTGAGGGAGAATGTCCATGTAGGGGAGAGGAAGCCATGTGGTTGCTCTTTCAGACAATGTTCCTGGGTCTACATCGGGGCACTGCTCACAGAGAATGCAAGGAGAGGGACATGGGCCAGGGACACCCCCTTAGCAGTTAACCTAATTGCCACCTGCACCCTGTGTTCCACCTCACAGAAAACACTACCTTCAACTCCAGCAGTGAAGCTGAACGGAAGACACAGCGCTTCTACCTTTCCTGCCTGCGTGTGGACCGCATTGAGGAGCTGGGAGCCCAGCCACTTCGAGACCTCATTGACAAGGCAGGGCAGGGGAGCAGGAGAGGCCTCAGGAGAGGATGTAGCTCAGGGATACTTTTGGGGTCCTTGTGCTATTGGTTCCACTTATGCTCTCTCCTCAGATTGGTGGTTGGAACATTACAGGACCCTGGGACCAAGACAACTTCATGGAAGTGCTGAAGGCAGTGGCAGGGACCTACAGAGCCACCCCCTTCTTTACTGTCTACATCAGTGCTGACTCCAAGAGCTCCAACAGCAATGTTATCCAGGTACCGTGTTGGGGAGGGGTGAGGCCATACTCCCCTCCCATGTGACAGTGGGCTGGGCTGGATCTCCACACAAGAGTCCAGGTTTGGGGAGCCTCATTCTTCTTCATTCCTCTCACAGGTGGACCAATCTGGGCTCTTTCTGCCCTCTCGAGATTACTATCTAAACAAGACTGCCAATGAGAAAGTAAGGAATGCCTCAGAGCCCTCCCTCTTCCCTGTTTACTTTTTCCTTTGCCTGGTCAGAGGGGGAAAGTTGAACCTATCCTGCTGCCCAGTGAGCTAACTGTCCTCCCCCCCTCCTTCTTTCCCTGTCTTCCTTCCTTTGATTCATCCAGAAAAGATTTTATGGGCACCTACCATGTTTCTGATTGGCACAAATAGTTCAATTACTAACCAAAAGGTGGACAGTTTGAACTCACCCAGAGCAGCCTCAGAAGAAACTCCTGATGATATATTTCCAAAAGGTCACAGCCATGGAAAACTCTGTGGAGCACAGTTCTACTCTGCCACACGTGAGGTCACCATGAGTCAGATTAACTCAACAGCAATTGACTCCTGGTTTTATGGTAGTCAGGTGCAGTGGGAGAATTCTGAGATGTGAGTTTTAGAGCCCTTGCCAGAGAAAGATTTCAGGGTAGATGGGTTTATGAATCCAGGTAGCACAGGAAATGACTCAAAAAACGGTCTGTAGAATGCAAAAGGGAAGAGACTCAGAGAAGGTTCTGAAAATTACATTTGGGCTGAATCCTAGCATATTTGGAAGCAGGTAAGAGCATGCTGTGTAGAAAAGAGAGTTAAGCAAAAGTATAGAGGAGGAAAAAGCTAAGATGTGTTTGGCCCATGGGAAGGGGTCCAATTTGGCAAAATAGCTCAGAACAGACAGGAGGCTGGAAAGGTGGATGTTGTTGTTATGTGCCGTCGAGTCAAACCCAACTCATAGCGACCCCTCCTTGGGTTTCCAAGGCAGTATCACTAGGGAAGTAGGATTGCCCAACCTTCCTTCCGAGGAGTGGCTGGACCCACCAGCCATCTGGTTAGCAGGCAAGTGTCTTAGCCACTATGCTACCAGAGCTCCCAATAGGATCCTGAAATGCCACACTAAGGAGTTAGTTCTACAGCCCCCAGGAGCCATTGCATACTCCACAGCAGGGAGAGAGTGACGCAGTGAGCAGTGCTCTGAGCAGCTGTTTCAGCTGAGGTGTGAGAGTAGATGCAAGAGAGGGAGTCTGGAGATGAGTTAAGAGTCTGCAGTACTCCAGGCTCTGGGTCCTACGGGCCCAAACTGGAAAGAGGCAGAGGGGATGTGAGGAAGGAGAAGATGCAAGAGATGCAGGCAAAGTAGTATCTCAAGTTATTGGTGGCTGGATATTAGAAGAGAGGAGTAGCAGGAGGGAGGAAGAAAAGATGGTTGAAGCTGTAAGCCTGAGTGATGGTGGCACAGAGGTTTCCTTAGAGACTCAGGGTATCTGCGGGAAGACTCAGCTTGAGAGCATGCTGGAAAAGAGAAGACAAAGTGATGGCACAAGAAAAGGGCAGACTTTGGAGTCAGACTTGAATTTCAATCCCAGCTCTAATGCATGGTAGAGTTTGATTAATCTCTTTGAGTCTGAGTTTCCTCTTGAAAAATGAGGATCATAGCATTTATTTTCCGTGGTGTTTGGGAGGGGTGCAAGCTAGTGCTCCTGCATGTGGCAGTCACACAGAGTGGGAACTTCTCATTTTAGTGGCTCAAATTTGAGGGACCTGGGTGCCTTCTAGGAGCTCTGGTGGCATAGTGCCTAAGGCAGTTGACTGATAACCAGAAGGCTGACAGTTCAATTCCACCAGCCACTCCTTGGAAGGAAGTTTGGGCAATCTACTTCTGTAGAGATATCACCTCGGAAACCCAAGGAGGGGTCGCTATGAGTCGGATTCAACTCCACGGCAGTGAGTTTGGTTTGGTTTTTGGGTGCCTTCTACATGGAGAGGTCAGCAGAAAGTTGTGAAAATTACATGGAGTTCTGTAGAGAGGACAAGCCAAGAGGCATCCAGGACTTGAGGGGTATCTCCTTAGAAAACTAGACAAAGGCTTAAGAGAGGTGAAAATGTAGGAAAAGGATAGAGAAAGGAAGGGTGATCCTTATATTTAAAAAATACATTTTTGTTCTTGAAAATATACTTAACAGAACATCATCAATTCAAGTTTCTACCTGTGCAGCTCAGTAATGTGGATTACATTCTTCGAGCTGTGTGACTATTTTTGCCCTCCTTTTCTGAATTGTTCTTTCCCCAATAGACATGAATTCACTGCCCCTGAATTTCCAGTCTAACTTTTCAAGTTGCTCTTACCAATTTGATTCCATACAGTCAGTTCTTGAGAAGAGCACAGTGCTCAAGGCGGACATTCTTTGCTAGTTAAGGTAAACTTTTGTTTGGTTTAAAGATTTCAGGGGATGTTTTGGTTTAAGGTTTAAATTTTTTCTCAAGACAATAGTTTGGGGTTTCATCCAGCCTCAATGGTTCCAGAAAGTCTGGATTCTGACTCTTGTATTTTAAGGGTAGTGGCAGGAAGAAAGCCAGTGAAAGAGACTGCTATGGAGTAGGACAATCAGCCGAGTTGTTTGTCCTTCTTTCATTCATTCACATATGTTTACTGAGCAATAGTTGGTCAGACCCTCCTCTAGGCACAGTGGCAAACAAGACACTGTCACTGTCACTCAGTGGGGGAGAAGACATAAAATAACTATTTACACAGTCATCCTGTTTATAGTTGTTGGAACTGTTGTACTGGAGAAGTATGGGCTTCTGAGAGTCAGTGTAATAGGAAGTGCCTAGTCCCAGGATGAAGGTAGGCTGCAGCAAAAGGAGATGGTTCTAGGCAAAGGGAATAGCTTATGCAAAGGCTCTGCTGCAAGAAGGAGTCACTGACCAGGAGCAGGAAGGGAGGGTGGGCCAAGTTATTACAGACTCATAATGCAGGGCATTGTGGGTTGCATTTAGGATTTAGGATCTATCCCAAAAGAAATGGAAAGGAAAACTCAAAAGTGGGAGAGTGGTGGACATAGGTTTTTGGTTTTGTTTTAAAAAGAATTGCATCACTGGTGTCAGGTAAGAAGAGAACTTTGAGAAGGCAAGAGGGAGCCAAGTAGTTCAACACTTAAGAGAGGATGAGGAGAAAGCCTTGGATTTGTCTGTAGGTGTGGTACTGGTTCCCCTGGGATGGGGAAGCTGGAGTGCAAAAGGCTGAGGAGTAGTTGGTAGGGAAGGACATGATAGGCTCGCTTCGTCTCTCAAATGTAAAGATAGAATAAAAATTTAGGAGTAATGCAGGTGTCTTAATTAACTAGTGATGGAATAACAGAAATACCACAAGTGGGTGGCTTTAAGAAACAGAATTTTTTTTTCTCACAGTTTAGGAGGCTAGAAATCTGGATTGAGGGCATTGCTCTAGGGGAAGACTTTCTCTCTGTCAGCTCTGAGGGAAGGCCCTTGTCCTGGGTTCCTTGGTGGTCTTCATGTGGCTTGCCATCTATTTTCCCCTGCTTCTGCTTCCTTCTCTAACCTAATCTGCTCTTTCTATATCTCAAAGGTAATTTGCTTAAAACACACCCTACACTGACTGATACGGTCTTTTAAAATAACAAAGAGAACCCATTCCCTAATGAGATTATAAACACAGGCATAGGATTTAAGGTTTACAATGCATATTTTGGGAGACATGATTCAATCCATAACAGCAGGGTTCAGCAAAGTCTCCAAAGGAAGTCTTAAACTAAAGGTAAAAGGGTATGAAGCAAAAAGGATAACTTGAGTGTGTGTGTAAGGGGGCAAGATCACTTGTTGAGTTAACCTTCCTACCCCTCATGAGCTACAATGACTGGGATTGGTACTAAAACCTCTTCCTCTGATACCAGCAACCAGGAAGCGGAAAGGTGGGGGAAAAGGAGCAGTTTTGAAGTACAGAGACTGGACATAAAGCTAAAACCGGACGAGGAGATAGCATTTGATGATAAGGGAGCTCAGCATGGGTGTCAGAGTGAGAGCGTGGACTGCTCCCCAGGAGGAAGGCCACAGAGAGTCATACTAGGCAGTGCTGAGGGTCTCTTTGCAGGCTTTCATCCCTTCATTCAACAAATATTTCCTGAGTACGTACTGTGTGCTGAAGACTGCAGTAGCAAACAAAGCCAACACAACCCTGCCCTCATGGAGCTCAGGTGCCAGCAAGGGGGAGGCAACGTGACTTTGTACTGGGCTCAGGTAGTACTGGGGCTGTGGCCTTGGAGTCATCAGCCCTGGTCCGCATTCTGACTCTGCTACCTGTTAGGTTATAATACAGGTCAAGTCATGTAATCTTCCAAAGCCTATTTCCTCTCTGTGAAACGGGACTTATAATATCCACTTTATCGAGCTCTTGCAAGCTGCGGAAAGATACAATTACATGTAATGCCCCAGCAGAGAGCCTGACACATGTATACATAAGGGGTCACTAAATATTTCTTCTCTGTGCTTTTATTTCCCTTGGTAACCAGAGGGAAGTAGAGAAGGTAGCAAGTTTGAGGCCTGGAAGAATGGGAGGTGGAAGGGAGTTGAAGCTACTATGGACCAAACTCCCTGCGAGGGCCATTCAGCTGCTAAATAAAGACATAGGGTCACTGAGGATCTGGGAAAACCAGAAGGGCTTTAGGAAATTGGAAGAGAGAGTGTGAGAAGCAGGTCCATCCACTGGACAAATACTTTCAGAGCATCTACTCAGTACTAGGAGTCCATAGGTGGTGCAATAGAGTATGTGCTTGACTACTAACTGAAAAGCTGGTGGATCAAACCCACCCAGAGGCACCTTGGAAGAAAGGCCTGGTCATATGCTTCATAGTCACAGCCATGAAACCCTATAGAGCAGTTCTAGTCTGCAACACATGGGATCATCATGAGTCAGAATAGACTGCATGCCAACTTGTTTTCTTCTTAAATCTGTGCTACAGTTTGTTCTAGGCCTTCAGGATACACTTGCAACTTACCTTTTCCTTAGGAAAATAGATAGTAAACAACTGCATAAGTAAATAAACAAACAAGATAATAGCAGATGGTGAAAAGCACTGTGACAGAAATGAAACAGGGTGGTCCAAGAAGGCCTCTGAGATGAGGGTCAGCAGAAGAGATGATGGGCAGAGGTGGTGGCCAGGAAAGATCCTTTCAACTTCCAGCGAGACTTGTTGATGGGCTCTGAAGTCTACTCTGGGCCTTGGCAGGTGCTCACCGCCTATCTGGATTACATGGAGGAGCTGGGGGTGCTGCTGGGTGGATGGCCAGCCTCCACGCGGGAGCAGATGCAGCAGGTGCTGGAGCTGGAGATACAGTTGGCCAACATCACCGTGCCCCAGGACCAGCGGCGTGATGAGGAGAAGATCTATCACAAGATGAGCATTGCTGAGCTGCAGGTGGGGCAGGCAGAGGACCAGAGAGAGCTGGGAGGGGCCAACTCCTGGCACAGACATTCCAGCTTCCCTTCATGCCATCTACCCAAGGCAGCAATGCTTTCCTCATTTCCTTGCTTTTTGGAGTTTCCCAGCTGCACCATTGCTATCCTGGAAAGAGATGTGGTATCGTTTAAGGCCACCTGTCACTGGGCAATCCTTTGGTCTCTTTCCTGTTTCCTGTATGTATGTATGGAGGCACAACCAAACCGAAACCAAACTCACTGCCATCGAATCAATTCCTACTTGCAGTGACCCCACTGGGTTTCCAAAGCTGTAAATCTTTATGGAAGCTGACTGCCTCATCTTTCTTCCACACAGTGACTGGGAGTTCAAACCACCGACCTTTTGGTTGGCAGCCAGATGCCTTAATCACTATGCCACCAGAGCTCCTTATGGAGGCACCGTGATGTTAAAAAAGTCTATAACAGCTTGTACAAGATGCCCACAAATCAGAATAGATACTGGAGAACTCTTACTGTGCCAGGCATATCAACCCTTTGATAATGGAGAAGTTGAGGTGGTCCTAGGGAAGGGGCCAAGTATGCTTGTACCCTGGGGGCCTCAGGGGAGTGGTATTGTATTAACTGTTATGAAAATATTTGAATATCTGTGCCCTAGCTGAATATCACACACAGATGGTTTTCCACCTGTGTACATATAGGAAGTGGTTGGGCTCCCAGATTGAGGAGTGCTCAGGCCTGGAAAAAGGTTTATTGCAGGAAGGGGTCACCAAGCAGCCAGTAGCTGTTGCCATGGCAATGGGAAGGATTCCAAGGTGGCAGCATACCAGTGGGGGAAGGGTCTGCTGGAAGCCAGGCTACAGGCAGGGAGGCTTGAGGGTTATTTTATTTTATTTTATTTTTTTGCTCCTAGGTCCTGGCACCCTCCGTAGACTGGCTTGAGTTCTTGTCTTCCTTGCTGTCACCGCTGGAGCTGAGTGACTCTGAGCCTGTGGTGGTTTATGGGATGGATTATTTGCAGCAGGTGTCAGAGCTCATCAACCGCACAGAGCCAAGGTGGGGAGGAGCCCAAGATGCAGAGGGTATGGCTCAGGACTCTGTGGAGGTCCTGGGCAGGGACAGGGCATAGGGGACGGGTACAGCCAGACACAGAGCAGCATTTGATGAGGGAGCTGGGTCTTCTAAACATTCAAAAAGAATGTCTGCAGGCTATTCTCCCTAGAGAATAGGATGCCAGCTCACTTGGAATCTTTATTCCCACACCTTGCTTCACCTGACTTCTATAGGCAGGTGTGTGGTCCCAGGACGAGAGGGAGGGATCCTGGGACAGCTCCCACCCATGCCTCTCAGGACTCCTGCTGCCTGCTTGTTCCTGGGACTGCCCCTTCTTATGTTCTCTTCTAAATACCAGCATCCTGAACAATTACCTGATTTGGAACCTGGTGCAGAAGACAACCTCCAGCCTTGACCGGAGCTTTGAGTCTGCACAAGAGAAGCTGCTGGAGACGCTCTATGGCACCAAGAAGGTGAGCACTCTTGACTCTGCCCCCAACTTCTGATCCAATGTAGCTAATATGTGTGTCAGGTGGCATTTACCTTATGATATAGTTGGAGCACAGAGTTTGGAATCACACCAACTTGAGTTCTAATCCCATCTTGTCCATTTTTTAACCTTATGGGGCCTTGGAAATATTCTCCAGCCTTTCTGACTCTCCATTTCCTGGTCTTTAAAACAGGAACACCTTGCAGGGTTGTCATGAAGATTAACTGGGTTAATGTTAAGTGAAGCTTACCTACATTCATGGTACAGATAGGCAGTCCGCTTGGATGATGATAATGAATAAGTACAGTTCTTAGTTTTATGGTGCCCCATTAAGTGGAGGAAGTGGACATGCAAACAAACACACATTTTGGGGTGATCAAACTAAACCAAACCTACTGTCATCGAGTCGATTCCAACTCTTAGTGACCCTATAGGACAAAGTAGAACTCCCCCGTAAGGTTTCCAAGGCTATACAACTTTACAAAAGTAGACTGCTACATTCATCTTTCTCCCATGGAGTGCCTAGTGGGTTTGGTTAGCAGCTGGATACTTTACTACTGCATCCCCAGAGCTCCTTTTGGGGTGATAGATAGTCACATTATATGAAAGACCTTTGTACTATAGGATACAAGTGGGGACAGCACAGGAAAGTCTCCGAGGAGGTGACATTTTCAAAAAGTGTTCACAAAAAGGGCAGGAGGGAATGGCATTCCAGGCAGAAGGAACAGTATATGAAAATTCCTAGAAGCCAGACAGAGCAGCTTTTGTTCTGTTTTCAGCTTGAACACAGGGCGGCAGAGAGGCTGAGGTTTGTGAGTTGGATGAGGGGCAGGCCATGATGAGACCATAATACTGTGCTAAGTTTGGCCTTTCAGGGTTGGGGAACCATGGGATCGCTTTAAGCAGAGTAACATGGCTAGGTTTATGTATTAAATGATCTCTCTGGCAGCGAAGTGGAGGGGATTGGGGGACCTGAGCATAGCACCAGGAGTCTTGTTAGAAGGTGTTTGCAATCTTCAGGCAAGAGATGATAGTGTTCTAAGGCAGGGCAGTGGCAATGGAGTGGACAGGAGAGATTAGGACACTTGTGTACATATAGAAATTGGTGATGGATTGAATGTGGGGGTAGAGATGGAGCAAGTTGGGATGACTCCCAGGTTTCTGATGTGGGGAACTGGATATGAGACTGAGATATGGAATTGAGCAAAGAAACTTCTGGACCCCATTGGGCTCTTAGAAACTTCAGAGGAGGAGACTGTTGGGAAGAACAGCAGCACCCTGCTGAGGACTGCTGTCCACTGCTGAGGCGGCACTCTGAGATACTGCCTTTCATTTTTCCTGGAGTCCTTTGGGAGAGATGACAAACCAAAACCCAGAGCTAAGAGGCCCTCAGACTGGAGGACAGAGCCGACTCTGAGAGGCCTGACTCTTTGTCCCTTGACAGTCCTGCATGCCAAGATGGCAGACCTGTATCTCCAACACGGATGACGCCCTGGGCTTTGCTCTGGGCTCCCTCTTCGTGAAGGCCACATTCGACCGGCAAAGCAAGGAAATTGTGAGTTGCCATGCTTCTTTCAACACTATCCTTTGTTTTATTGAAAATTCACTGTCCAGCATATTTTAGGGCAATAAATGTAAGGTATTTAAAAAAAAAATTTGCTGTTATTTATGTGTATACATATAGAAAAAAAAAACTGACATGAAGTTCATCAACAAATTAACAATAGCTGCTTTGGGTGGTGAGAGTGTGAGGAATTCTTTTGTCCTTTATAGTTTTCTGTGTTTTCCAAATTTTCTACAATGCGCTTATGTTACTTGAATAACTAGAAAAAATAAATTTATTTATTGGGTGATGATAATGGATATATTTAAACTATTACCTACAAAAGTGTCTGTGATAAAGTTGTTTATAATAGGGAGAAATGAAACCAATTTATATGTCTGATCACAGGGGAATGGAAAAATAAATAGTGGCTCGGATGGATTATTAAGCAATCTTAAAGCTGATGATATATTCTTAAGTGAAAAAATGGCAGGTAACAAAAAAATATATATGTTGCACAGAATACTTACATATTTATCTGGGCAAAGAAAATACTAGAAAGAGATCATCAAAATGTTAAGAAAAAGATTCATCTCTGAGATGAATCATAAATGACATCTACTTTCCTCTGTCAGCTCTTACCAACTTACCAAGGTTTTTACTACCCATGCCTTCCTTTCATAATCAGATAAATATCAATACAGTATATTAAAATCATATTCATTTAATTAACTGATTGTAAATTAAAATTTTAATTCATTAGTAAGCCACCCACCATCCCAGTACCTTCACAAATCGTGTTTCCTTCCCATCCTTTCCAGCTTGGCCTTATTTCATGAGTGGGGCACTCTCATGTGCTCCCCTGCAGCAGGGAGAAGTGATGCTTTAAGTGCAGATGGGAGGCTGACTTGTGTTCCTGCCCTCCTAGGCAGAGGGGATGATTAGTGAGATCCGTTCAGCCTTTGAGAAAGCCCTGGGACAGCTGGTTTGGATGGATGAGAAGACCCGCCAGGCAGCCAAGGAGAAAGTGAGCAGTGGCTGGAGTTGGGGCGCCATCTTGAGGTGTGGATGGAGGATAGTTTTATCAAGAGCTTGACCAGTTAACCATTTGCCTTCGAGTTAATTCTGATTCGTGGCAACACTGCATGTGTCAGAGTAGAACTGCATTCGTTTTCAGAGACTAAATTTTTGAAAGTAGATCACTAAGACCTCCTTCCGAGGTCCCTCTGTGTGGGCATGAACCTCCAGCCTTTCAGTTAGCAGCACATTAACTGTTTGTACCACCCAGGGACTCCTGAAGAGAGTGAAACCTTTAACTTGGTCTCTTCAGGCAGATGCCATCTACGACATGATTGGCTTCCCAGACTTCATCCTGGAACCCAAAGAGCTGGATGATATTTATGATGGGGTGAGTTTCTCTGCTCACCAGTATAGAACTTCAGCCTTGGGGGGAGCACTGTTCTCTAGGTTCAGTAATTGGGGTTCAAGCACTGAAAAGGAAAGAGATGTTTGTTGGTTCTTAGTTGCTAACTCTTGGCCAGGCTGCAGGTCTGATAGGGAAATAAGTGCTTACAAACCAGGGATTTGGAGTCAAACCTGAACCAAATCCTTTTTCTGTGCCTAAATAACTGTGTAGCCTTGGATAAGTTACATAACCTTATTGAATCTCAACTTTTCATCTGTAAGATGGGGATCCTATTTGTATTTACATCATAGAGTTTTTGTAAGAACAAAAGGAGGCAGTGTGTTAAAAAATATGCCACCTGCAACATAAGTAATCTTTAAATATTAGCAGTTATTATATATTATTCTGTATACGTGAAGTCATTGAACCACAATGCCGTAAATTAGATATTTACTCCCATTTTATAGTTGGGGAAACTGAGGCTCAGAGAGGTGCTAATTAGTGGCCAAGCTGGGACTACTATGCCCTCCGACATGTCCTCTTGCATGGTTTCTACTTCCCATCACTCCCATAGTATGAAGTCTCTGAAGATTCCTTCTTCCAGAACATGCTGAATTTATACAATTTCTCTGCTAAGGTGATGGCTGACCAGCTCCGCAAACCTCCCAGCCGGGACCAGTGAGAATCGGGGGCCGCAGGCACCTGGGGCAATATTGAGAGGTGGGGGGAGGTTTCCGGGACTGGGTGAGGGGTGGCAAGACTGATCTTGGACCAGAGGCACCAGGCCATTGCAATTGATAGATCAGGACTGCTGGGCTGGGAGGGGCATCAGGAGGGTCAGGACCATCTGAGCCTCAGCCTCCTTCTCCTGCAGGTGGAGCATGACCCCCCAGACAGTGAATGCCTACTACCTTCCAACCAAGAATGAGATTGTCTTCCCTGCTGGCATCCTACAGGCCCCGTTCTATGCTCGCAACCACCCTAAGTACATCTGAGTCAAGAGAAAACCTGGATCCTGGGCCTGGGCATCTGGGTGCATTGGGAGCAGGGCTGAAGGTGGGAGTCAGATGTCTCCTTATCATGAACTCATCCAGTATTTTTTATCCACCAGGGCCCTGAACTTTGGTGGCATCGGCGTGGTGATGGGCCATGAGTTGACACATGCCTTTGATGACCAAGGTATGGGCCCATGGAGTTGTCCCTCAAACCTAGAATTCACACTGGCTCCTGCAAGGCCTTGGGATGTTGAAGGCCAGGCTCACAGGGGTCTTGAGTCTGTGGACCAGAGCTAATGGGGCCCTCCAGCCTGAAAGGGGTGAGGTCTATTTTGGTGGAGTGCAAAGGTGAGTTCTCCCCAGGGCGTGAGTATGACAAGGAAGGGAACCTGCGGCCCTGGTGGCAGAATGAGTCCCTGGCGGCCTTCCGGAACCACACAGCCTGCATGGAGGAGCAGTATAGCCAGTACCAGGTCAACGGGGAGAGGCTCAACGGCCGCCAGACACTGGGGGAAAACATCGCTGACAACGGGGGGCTTAAGGCTGCCTATAATGTGAGTGGCCTGGCCAGCCCTCCAGTGGCTGAGTCCCACCCACATGGTGGGAAGGGCACTGGGTGGAGGTGGGCAGGCCCTGATGGACTTGCTGCCCACTGTGCCCGGCCCCAGGCTTACAAAACGTGGCTGAGAAAGCATGGGGAGGAGCAGCAGCTGCCAGCCGTGGGGCTCACCAACCACCAGCTCTTCTTTGTGGGATTTGCCCAGGTATTGCCCCCCACCCTGGGTGGCCTGGGGTCTGCCCTTCTTTCCCACTCATTCCCTCCTACGTGTGATAGAGAAAGAATTCTGGGGCATATAGGAGAGGGGCTGGAAAATGGGCTGAAGTTGGGACGTGGAAGGTGTGCTGGAGCCTCTTCACTGGGACCCACAAAAGCAGTCTGAGGCCTGAGGAGGGAGAGTTCTTCCATAGCATTTCACAGATCTCAACGGGCAGGGCTACCCTGCTTGAGCGGTGAGGGCTAGAGAGGGATAGGAGCTTCAGGATGTTCCTGGGAGCTAGTTAAGGCAAAGGAAACTAAAGCTAGGGAGACAAAATGGCTCCCCAAAGAGCCACCCAGGATAAAGGAAGTGACAGGGCTAGGACTCAGGTAGGATCCCCTCTAGGTACTTTTCACCACCATACCAGGCAGCCTCTGGGGGCTCTGCTTTTCCTCCTCAGACATGTCCATTCTGGCAGCCCAATGCCCAGGGCAGCTTTGAAAGGCCTTCAAGGGGTATGGGAGGGTGGGTACATTCCCTCCCCTTGCTGACAGTGAAGGGGTTGGGGTGGAGATGCTGGCTGAGCCCTGCCCAGTCTTCCTGAGGCTTAGAGAAAGCAGGGCTAGAGCCCTCCTGAGCTGGGGGCTGGGGCAGTAGTGGTTTGTGCCCTTAGGATACCTCCACTGAAGCAGATTCTGTGGCCCTGCCCTACACTGGACACCATATGTCCCTGTGTCTGTCCTGGCCCACAGGTGTGGTGCTCAGTCCGCACACCAGAGAGCTCTCACGAGGGGCTGGTGACCGACCCCCACAGCCCTGCCCGCTTCCGTGTGCTGGGCACTCTCTCCAACTCCCGTGACTTCCTGCGGCACTTCGGCTGCCCTGTCGGCTCCCCCATGAACCCAGGGCAGCTGTGTGAGGTGTGGTAGACCTGGGTGGGGGAGAAATGGTCGGCTGTCCCCAGGATCTGGGACAGCTGGCCCTGTGAGGCTGTTTGTTCTGGGACTAGGAGAAGGGAAATGCAGGCTGGGCTGTGCCCAGCCCTTCCACACCACAAATGACATATAAGTTCCAGTCCCTCCTCAACCACCACATTGTGCCTCTGCTTTGGGGGTGCCCCTGTCTCCAGCAGAGCCCCCACCACTCACTGTGACATTCTTCTGTGTCACCTTGTCTGGGTATCCACATGAAGGAGGCCTGGAGTGGGGTCTCACCAGCTTCCACAGGAAGGAGTCTGCCTCTTCTGGTGCCAGGCTCACTCGGTTTGGTGGCTGCAGGGCCTGCTGTGCCTGCCCACTCTAGCCATGCAGAGCCTGGGTGGTGTGCCTCGAGACTTCTCCCCCAGGCTGACCCAATGATCACTTGGGAGTGGATTCAGCTACCTATAGCCCTTCCTGTAGCTCAGGGGCTGCCCCCTATGCTCCTCATGCTGCTGCTGCTCCCAACACTGCTGCCACCCCTCACTGATAGACCAACTGTGCTTGGTTCTTAGTGGACGTCTAAGGGCCTTAAAAACCTTCCTCTGCCTCTCTGCTTCCCTGGGCTAAACGGGAACGTGTGTAGCATAGGGCATGCTGTCGCCTGTATCTTAGGGCAAAAGTCTTAGGGGTGACTGATTCTCCTTGGGCCAAGAAAGAAAGCAGATAAAGCAGGGAGTGGAAGGACAGAGTTTATTTTTACAGGGAAGAGGGTGGGGAGGGAATGGTCTAGGCCCTGTAGGACCTTGTGCCAATAAATAGATATGCATCTATCAGCCTGTCTCTTCTTTCAGTCTTGTTTTCATTTATTCATTTACTCATCCAACCAATATTTATTGAGCACTTACTGGACGTTGTTGTTGTAGTTGTTATGTGCCATCAAGTTGGACCTGACTCATAGCTACCCCTCCTTGGGTTTCCCAGGCAGTATCACTATGGAAGTAGATTGCCCCATCTTCCTTCCAAGGAGTGGCTGGTGGGTTTGAACCGCCAGCCTTCTGGTTAGCAGTCAAGGTCCTTAGGCACTATGCTACCAGAGCTCCCTACTGGACATTAGACACTCATTTATTCAGTCATCAGACATAGCAGATTGAGATTTGAAGCCCAGAAAAGACAGAAAGAGAGACAGTGTAGAGGAATGGAATGATGTCGAATCTGGCTGGGTAGAGTATGTCTTCTCACTGTGGTCATTTCCCCATTGCCAGCTACTTGACAGCTGCAAGAATTTTCTGCTCCTCTACTGGCGCATGCTGCTGGGCCTGACAGAGTCTGGATAACTACTAGGCCAGGGTCAACTTGGAAGGTGGTTGACGCTTACTTACCCTGCAATGGAGGGAAGGCCTGGCCAAGGCATGCACTCCCCAGAGCTAAAGCACCAGCCTCTGCTTGTAGCTGAGAAGACAAGGATTTCTCCATGACCTCATAGGTTCAGAGCTCCCAAGTCACTCATTCCACCTACACACACTCTTCAAGGCCTCCCAAGTGTCAGGCACAGAGACTACAAATATGGCTGCTACTCTCCAGCACCAGGGAGGGAAAGGGAACATTTATGGAATACCTCTTGTGTTCCAGGCATCTGGGCTAGGTGGTTCCTTTCTTTCTTCATTTATTCATTTATCCATCCATAGGTTTATTTCCTTAGTGTATTGACTACCAGCAATGTGCCAGGCACCGATGATGCAAAGATGAATAGCATGGTTCCTTCCCTCAGACACTCATCTGGTAGCTCTTTCACTGTCCTGAGCTCATTGACTCCTCAGCGGCCATATTTTTAAGTGCTCTAGTTTCCATTTTATAGACCTAGCCTTAGCCACATTACAGCAGACAAAGAGATCTGGATTGAAATTGGTCTGAGCTTAAATCTGTTATCTAACTTCTATGAACCTGTTTCTTCATCTGTAAAATGAGAACTAGCAGAACAATGGAAACTGAATATTCCCCAAGGTGTGGGAAGGGGTGAGTTTATTGAGTCTGGAAGGAGAAGAATGAAATTTTGAGTGATTGCCGCTGGGGTGCTTGGTCTCTCAGTGATGGCACCAGTAGGTGTATCATAGCCTGAATCCTGTCCCAGCCCTTTAGAACATCAGACTATCCCCATAAAGAGCTGCATGTGGGCCTCTGTCATGTTACCCAGAAGTGCTGACTCCTCACCAAGAAAAGAAAACAGCCGTCAGGAAGGAAGTGGCCTCTGGAACTCCAAGATGAAGGAAAAGCATGGGCTGAGCCTCTGACTGCACAACCTCAAGAGGGGCAGCAAAGTGCACTGGGAAGAGCAGGCCCATCTGGCTCTAGCACTGCCACCCACCTCTGTGTGACACTAGACATAGCTCATCCCTTTTCAGGTCTCAGTGTCTTCAGCAGTCTGTACAATAAATATGTTAGATGAGAAGATCTGAGGCCTGTCCATTTTTAATGTTTTAAGAGATGAATTAAAGGGCTCAGCAAATTCCAGAACCTGAAGAGATACTAAGAAGTAAGATTTCCAAAGTTCAGGTGTTACCTAGAAGGTGAGATTTATAATGTCAGAGGCCACCATGACTGAGCAGAGGTGTTTGGCAGGAGAACTCTAACTCTTCCCTTCACACTGATTTCAGATGCCAGCTTAGGACCCTGATCAGCAATTTGATGCCAATGTGGTGTTCAAGCTCCATATTTTCAAAAAAGGTCAAAGTGTCAAATAATAATAAAAATAAAAAGCAGCTTTCACTTACTGTGTCCCTACTTTGCTTAAGACTGTGCTAAGCACTTTAAAAATATTATCTCATTAAAATCCCACCACAACTTATAAGTAAATTCTATCATTGTGTCCATTTTACAGGTAAAAGACCTAAGAAAAAAGATTATGTAACTTTCAATGTCAGGATGAAAACAAAACTCCCTGCTATTGGATAGGTTTCATTAAAGTCAGATTTGGAACTGTGATCCAAATGCTATCAATCACCATCGTTGAGTCTTCTAACTCATGATAGAGTTTAGACTCAAGCAAAGACATCTGTGTTCTGGGCAATTTCATCAGGCTTCTGAGTAGGACTGCCACCATCAGGTATATTTCTGTGCCACTCAGCTCCCCTGCACCAGGCATGTGTGACAACCAAGCAGTTGCAGGAAACTGAAGCTCATGTGGAGCTGAAATTAAGCCAAGTAGGATCTATTTATTGAGTACTCTGTGGGTACGTAGTCCCACGGGGTAGGCAGAGTGCAAAAATGGCATGGGGGGTGGCATCCTCTGACCTCGTCTGACTTCAAAGGGGGAGAAAGAAGGACCAACAGCAACAGCCCAAAGCTGATTCCAAGAAGGTGGAAGTCAGACATGCTACCACTCTCCAAACTTCAGCAATTCCAATACCATCCGTCCCTCTCATGGCACTCACTACTTCTCTGCTGTGTTCAATAATTTGTTGTAATGGCCACACAGAAATCACAGACAATATTCATGATTATGGGATTATTGCAACAGATTATAATTCAGGTTCAGGAATGCTTAGGATACAATTTTTCGATCAGAACAGCCTATCCTTGCCCATGGCAGAAAGCACACCACTCTTTGTCTGTCAGCTTCTCGGCCTGGCCTCTGCTCTGCTCAGGCAAGTGATACAAAGCTCTTTTAGCTCTGCTGATAGATGCTCCCCACACCTCCAGCAAGCCTCCTGCCCAAAGACACTCAGCTTTCTCATTTCTGGCCTGTAAGCCCACTGCTTGCCACTTGGTCTCTTGGTTCTGCTGCTGCTGTCTCTGCCAGTCTATCTGTCCATCTGTCTGCCATCGTCTCAGCGCAGGGATCTCAGGTCCAAGGATGTGCTCACTTCCAGCTCTTCCCTGTCATGATGGTAGTGAGATTCCCCTTCTGCCTCTGGCAAAATGACAAAACTGACCAGTCTCCATATTAGGGTTCCACACCTTAGTTCCATGGCCCACCTCCACAAGGATGCCACAAACCTTATTTACATTGCTAACAAGCTATCCAATTCCCTTGGTGGGTCACAAGCACCTTATATTCACCTTATATGATCATCTGGTGGGAGTCACAAAGACCGTGACTCGAAGAGCCATACCAAGTGATTGACTGCACCACACAAAGTGAACATCAGGTCAGAGATGTAACCTTCATCCACAGTAGCCCCAATAGGCTCATCACATCAGTGATATGCTCCAGTGTGTTGAGACAGAGAGGGAATAAAGGATGGTGGTCCTCATTGGACACATGATTACAATTGTTGGTGAAGTGCTAGGCCATGCCCTGCCCTGTCCCATGAGGAAGTTTGACTAAGTCTTCTGTAAGTTAAGGTAACATATGCCAAGTAATGTGATTCTACCCTTTGTAGCACTCTGGAAATGCTTTTAGAGCCCCCCATAAAACAAGCACAGGTTCAGTGGGTCTATCATGACTCATAAATGGAGAACCCTGAAAATAATTTCCCAATGCCCAGCTCTGGACACCAAAGAGAATCTCTGATGGGCTATTATTATACACAAAGATGATCTGAAGATGAGTGTAAAGCCATTCATTCATTCATCCAACAAATATTTGCCAAGGCCTACCACAAACCAGGCATCATGCTGGGTGTTAGATGAATAAGACAGTTCCTGTCCTCCAGGAGCTCACATTTAGGGCAGGAGAATTTGCCAAGTATAATGGGAGTTTCTGAGTGGCACAAATAGTTAAGCACTGGACTACTAAAAGAAAAGTTGGCAGTTCAAACCCACCCAGAGTCTTATTTAAATAAGACCAGGTGATCTGCTTCTAAAATGTCATAGCCTTGAAAATTCTATGGAGTAGTTCTACTCTATACACTTGGAGTTGTGGTGAGTTGGAATTGACTCAAAGACAACTAACAACAATATGGTGGGATAAGAGAAGAAATGACCCATTTGGTATGACAGGGCAGGAAAAGCTTCCTAGTTAGGGGTCATTGAGCTGGAGCTCAGAAGATGGGAGAATTTGCTAGTTGAAAACCATGAACGGTATTTCATACAGAAGGAATGCTGTTGTTGTTGTGTGCTATCGAGTCGGACCCGACTCATAGAGACCCCCTCCTTGGGTTTCCAAGACAGTATCACTATGGAAGTAGATTGCCCAACCTTCCTTCCGAGGAGAGCACTCTGAAAAGGCTGATCATCTTGAAGGGCAGGGCATGTTTAGAAATGGTGAAATGTTTAGGATGACCAGAAGAGGGTGAATGAAAGAGGCATATGAGTCTTGAAAAGAGTAGTAGTCATAGCAGATATGAAAAAGAGTAGACTGTAACATCTGTCAGTCCTGAGAATTAACAGTAAGAAGGCCCACAGTACAATCTGGCTGGTTGAAGAACACAAAGAAAGGAATAACCTACTGGAAACAGTGTAATACTATGCCCTGCCAGGGGCACTTCTGGCATGATGCAGACAATGACTGTGGGTTGGATGGTTCTTAGATGAGTAGAACCGTCCATAAAATGTGTACCTATACATCTCAGACTATAGATTAGGGGCAGCATGGCAAGTTTGTGGATGAAATTTGAAGGAGGGCGGTAAGATAATGGGTAATGGTAACGGGTGGGTCCATGATTGGCCAAATGTAGGAGAAAGTACTCATGGGAAGGCAGTTTTACTGAAATGGAGCTTAAGGGAGGATTTCAAAGGGAGGTGAGAGAAGATCTGCAGGTTATCATGGGGTCTTGAAAATAATGGTCAGATATTTACATCTAGCTAGAAAGGCTTGGAAGGAGCTCTGGTGGCATACTGGGAAAGACATTCGGCTACAAAACAGAAGGTCAGTTGTTCAAACGCACCAG